CGGCCCTGTCCTGAAACCTATAGACACCTAAAAGCGTACGCTTCCGTTGAAGACATTAACCAACACACCTGTGTGTTCTTATTACACATAAGAAGGACTGCTGTGAAAATCACCTACTGACCTGTTGGTTGGACTTAGAAGAGTGGGTGAAGTAGCCTGAATACTGCTGTTGTGTTTTCTGCTTTCTTCCTTTGTTGGTTTTTCAGGTGACTGTTCCACACGCCAGTTAGCTTTAAGCCTTCTTGTTTATTTAAAATGATGCGTTCAAGTGTGAGCAGCTACACCGAAGCTGCAATAACAACACATGACGCTGACAGATGTGCTTAACCCATTTAATCCCACCATGCAACAATTGTTGCTAGACATTTTTTCTAACTTCTGGAAGCTCAAAAAGAATTGTTTTGACTTTTGGCAGCTAATTGAAGTTTTATCATTAAATAATAGAGTTTCTACTCTAAGCCGATCAATTTCATGTATCTGGTGTGAAAGGTCACTTTCTGCCTGTGACGCTGGAGGTAAATGTCTGTCACAAACCTGTACAAGAGGAAGTCAGCAAAAAGTATTTAAATAAACACATATAAATAAAATATTTTGAACATATGTTCTTTCAAGAGTCTTTTCCTTTCCACAAAGTGTGTCCTATGCACTGAATGACCAATACAGTATGACGTCACGCCTGAAACTAGTTTAGGACAGAGCCAAGGTGGAACAGGGAGAATTTCCTCCTAGATGTAGATTTGTTCATACCAACATTTTCACCTGACTTTGCCTCATTGATCAAATGACCAAATGAGGTCAAAGGTTACTCGTCACATTGAGACTATGACATCTGCAGGATGTGACATTCAATATTTACGTATCTAAAATATTTCTGAACACTCCAATAACCATTCTTTGTTATAATAGAATAACATTATGACAAATGATTTTTTATATTTTGTTTATATGTATAAATAGGTCACAGTTGTGTAATTTAGACAATGCAGTTTCCCACCGGCAAGAGTATGAAACCTACATTTTCAATTACATTCTCAACATAAAATGTAATAATTCATAAATATCATGTGTTAAGGAGGTCCAAGGATTGAAACGCATGCACTTATTTTGCAGGAAAAAATTTGGGATTGAATGGGTTAAGCCTTACATTCTCCACTGCAACTCTTCATCCAGTAGGGCAGGCTTTTTTCAGGACTCTGTTGCAAAACAGAGAACATTGCATGCAGAGAGCAGCTCATAAACAAAATCAGCCAGTTGGGTAATTTGATTTGAATTTCTTGCATACTTTCTCAGGAGCACACTAACAGTGAAGCACATGCTACTGCTTGTAAAAGCGGCTGTTTGTGTGAATCGGTTGCGTTGCGTTGTGTGTCCTGTTATGTAGGTATGAGCTTGCAGCATTTGCTCCACATAAGAGGCACCGGGAAGAGCACAAGGGAGTTTGTCAAAAAGAAACTCACTGTTTCTTGGGTATTATCCTTCACAATGCATGGTCTAATCGGAGAGGAAGGATTTTTGTAACAAGACACGCTGGACCTGGTTTTACCCGGCCGTGTGCTGGGACTCGGAACATCAGGAGGGAAAATAGTGAAGAGAGCAGAAAGGAGAAACACACGGGGAAAAGAGAGCAAAGAGAAGACAAAGTGGAGTGGGAGAGAAATTGGGAGAGGAGCCAGAAGAGGGATGAAGTATACAGATAAAAACAGAAGTTGAATTTGAGGCCATGTTTCAAATGGAGAGCTTTGTTTTCTGACAGAGATCCCTCTCAGGAGATGGATCTGGAAAACAGATTATAGTAATAAAAGCCATCCAAGTTGCACAATGTGTACCTCAGCACCCTGTGAACTGAAGCTGTTGTGCATCAAGCTGTACTGTGCTGTGACAGAGCTGTAAAAGCTTAATGAAGCCTTACTGAAGCTTTCTGTTTGAACACTCGTATACATTCTCTCAGGTAGATGGCTGCAAACATCTGTCAGAAATTTTAATATTTAGCTTTGGAACAGACTTGCTTTTGTTTATTAGCTTTCTTTTTATAGGAAATTCACAGGGGGATCAAGTTGCTGCACTCAGCTGAAGCAAACTCTGTATAAGAGAGCTGTGGTTTCGAAATAACGTTAAGATTTGTGAACAGGAGAAAATGTGGATGGGTTCAGGGCCATAATACTGTGAGAAACACCTCGATTTACAATAAGTCTACAAGAGCTTCTACTCGAGCACCCGTGAAATTAAAACAGGCCCAACTTGGTGATTTACATGTTCAGTTTTGTGGGTGCAGATGAACAAAAATGTCAGTGTGTGTTGGTGTTGGCATGCTTTCTTTGCTGGCAGTGGGTAGACGTCCTTTTGTGATCTCAAACTGTTAACACTGGGGGTTTTAGGTTTCCTAATGAGCCAACTGGAGACTTCTGTAACTATCCCAGCACCATTTGCGTTTCACTAAGCTCCGTTGGTCTGGTGCTCAGAATGACAAACGCCCATTGCCATTTAGATTTATCTTCCCAACTGCCAAAACCACTCCAAATCCCAGTTTTGTCACTTTGAAGTTGAGAGATGGTTGAAAATGTGAAACACAAAATGAATGTTATTTTTGTTGCGCAAGCTTCAAAAATAACAGTTCTGGAAATTTTAGCATAATACAGTTTCCTTAGTCTGGTTTAATAAGCTTAATCTAAAGAGAAGACTGCAACAAGGAACATTTTATCAAACATTCTAAGGATTTTAGGGAATCTTCCAGTAACTTCTCACAACCTGCAAACTACTAATCTTACAGTTAAGTTATGCAACACCTATGACTTATAAAATGAACCAATTCACCAAGAATTATTCAACCCCCCTGGTTTTATATACAAATATTGTAAAGCAAGGGTATTAGTGAAGGAGATGAAAGCTATTTAGCTATTATGTTACATAAAGGGCAGCAGTTGTATGGATACGCAGTGGAAAATGTGTTTTTATGCTGAAAGGCAAGTGCTAAATGAATTTAATTTATTTAGAGCTTTTCTAGTCTCACTGACTATTCAAACCACTTTACACTATGCATCCAGTTGCATTCACAAACATGCACACATCCACACACAGACTGGTAGAAAACGTGGGGTGCAGTGCTTTACGCGACATCTCACAGAAGGAAGCTGGAAACTGTAGTGTCCAGATTTCAGGACAAATACTGGATTGCAAAACTTGTTTTTCCTCACTCATTTTATAATGTCAAACATAAAAATTACATCAGGTTTGTGCAACTGTATGCACGGCTCTTTTCTATCACAAATTCTTTCGGTTAAACTTTAAAATGATGGTTGAGAGCTCCATGGTTATATTTATTTACGGTCTGGGGTTTAGTTTTACCAGTGTTAGGATGTCTTAACAATTTGTGGTGAAGCAATATTTTAGACAAGTGGTAAACACCACATTTTGGGGTGAGTCTTTAAACGATTTCAAAATGTTTGAGCCAAATCATCAAGTTCTTGCATATAAAGTCTTATTACTTTTGTAAGTAAGACTAAATAAATAATATATCATTTTTAATACTGACTAAATAAATAAGTCTGCATTAAAAGCTTCAGTTTAGATTTTGTGTCTAGAAAAGTTATTCATATAGATTGAACTTTTCCATTTTTTCACATTGCAGACAAACCTGCACTGAAATCTGACAGTATGATACATCCTACAAGTCAATTCTTAACAGACTAACCTTCTGATGCAATTACATTTCAGGTTTTTTGGCTGTAATTGCATCCAAAGAATCTGCAATTGCAGGTCTTTTGTCTCAATTATTTCTGCAGAGAAAAGGTCAATTAATTAGAGATTTTCCCAAATACCTTGAGAAAAATAATTGTCCATTCCACTTTGTAAAATTGCTCAAACTTTAAACTGATATTAATGTTCAAGTGTTGCTAGTGATTCTAAATTGGGTTTAGGTTTTGACAGACTTTCACATCCAAACATGCTTTGATTTAAATTGTTCCATTTGATTTCTTTGTATATATTAAAGCTGCTGGAAATTAACCTTCGACCACAGGCTCAAACATTTCACAGTCTTAATCCTTTAATCAAATTACATTGACCCACAATGGTTTCCACTTACATGCACAACTGTTCTAATATTCTCAACTTTTTTGTAACTTATCTCGTTGAATGACAGTAAAATCATCAAGAAAGGAGAATAAATTTCTTTGACCTTCCTCACATGTAACACGGCCACATTTGATATTAGCATTTGGAAGCCTGCTTCTGATATGACCTTGATATTATTAAAGAGTCAGAAGATGGTAAAAGAGAAAGCTGAAGTAACTAAGTGGAAGAAGCCTACGATGTCAAGGAGACAGAAAGAAGCCCTTACTGAGTTACACAGATTGTCTTCTGTCTTTTCTCAGTGGACCAGAAAAGATGCAATCTAAGTGATGCGTAGCAGACCATAGAAACTTCTGCTCTATCTTTGCTGTGAGCACATGCATTTGTGGGTGTGTTTCTGGAAAAAAGAGACGACACTGGACTCAATGAGTGCTAAGAGTTAACAGTTCCTAAAGTTTGGAAGAAATATCTACTGACCACACACGTTTCTCTGAAAGGTGAGGAAACACAAATACAGCATCAGTTGAATCGTTATTGATTTAGATTTGTTCTACTATCTGATAAAACACTCCACAACCACATACAATACATTCTGTTGAACAAAGTATGTAAACAGTCACAGGGTTTACATCTTTGACCTTGTTTCCATGTCTCTGACCCACATGACAAGGGCCTCCCCTTGTGTCTGGTGTGTAAAACAGCAAGCAACCCTCACATTATACACACACTGGTAAAGGTTTTCAGCTAAAAGATTTCTGGAATTAATCTTCTTGGTGATCTGCTATCTGTGTAAAACTGTGCTGTCATAGCTGACCAAGAATGGGCAAGTTAATATGATTTCTAAAGGTGGCAGTAAAGGTGTAACCACCCTTTAAAACAGACAAGGAAGAGATTGTTCTTTTTTTTTTTTTTTTTTTAAACCACTTCCTGAACTTGACAGTTTCAGATGTAAAGACGATGGCCTGTGGAATATTTGACAAGCTCTCTGCCCTAATATTGTTTGTATGGTTCCTACAGATATGTGTGGCATCAGGTAAGAGTTGGAACTTCAAAAATTATGAGATTACTTTTATATGCCGAGATTTTGATTTGTTTATTGTTGGATTAATTCCTACTGCGTCATGAGAATACTTCCTGTTTTTATTCTGATTGTTTTCTCAACCATTTATTTGGTTTCTTACAGAATGCAAGTCAAAGAACATAATCTGCACTGAAATCTGTGTTGCTGAGGGATTTGGATATAAACATGAATGTCCAGAAGGAAGTGAGATTGCAATTGAAGGAACCGATAAGGTGCGGCTGTGTATTTCAGCGCCATTTTAGTCCATGTTCTGACTTAAATATTACTTTTTTCAGTGATATTCCAATCTTTATTACGTCTTAAAATAGAAAGTGAAAACTACACCATTGTCAGGTTCCTTGTATATTATGGGACACAGTTTAACCCTTAAATTGCCACGATGACCTCATAGGCCCATTGACTTACATGAAATGTTTTTGAGGATGACAGTTAAGGGGTTAAAATATGGCACTGAGGTTCTGGACAGTTACTCTTTATGTTTGAATCATTGTGAAGCAGTGTGTAATTTTAATATCTACAATAGGTGCTGTAAGAATACTTTTACTGACTTGAAAATATATATATTTTTTTTAACAGATGAATTTAGGTTATGCTGATCTACGCAAACAGGAGTTTAAATTTTTGCCACCAGTAGTGAAAATGGATAAACATTCAGTGATCACAGAAGTCTGCCAAGATCTTAAAATTACATGCACACCTTTTACTGTAAGTTCATTTTAATTATAGCCTTTAATAATGGAGACTAAGTATTCTAATCAAGTTTATTTTTCTATAGAAAAAATACGAAAATCTTGCTGAAGAAACGTGCATGAATTTTAAATCCATTCCTGGTGAGTTCCAAAAAAATACATCTTATTACAACAAAGTTCAATAAAAAAATATATTACACGATCTTTAGTAATTTAAATATAAACACGCAACTTCTTAATTTCAAGCAGAGAAATTTCCAGCAGGCAATATTAATGTGAGTCCGGCGCCTTCAATCCACGATCAAAGTCACCTTGGATGTGAGTGAAAGCAAAATATCTGACTTTGTGTTTCTTCCTTTGATCTGTTCAATATTTTCCCCCTTTTTCTGTCACCTACAGGGATTGCAGTTCCAGTGATCCTGCTTTTGGTCTCTGGAGTAATCTCTTACTGCTGCAGGAAAAAACATAAGGGGTGAGTCAATTTCTAAATCAGTGAATTCAATAAGTTTTTTTTGTTTGTTTGTTTTACAAAAGAAAATCTTTATTTTTGTAATGCCATTGTCTTCGTGTTACAAATGTAACACTTGGAGTAGCCTTCTGAAGGCCATAAATTATACATTTTGTTAGAAATTTACATTTCAGTTTCAAGTTAAATAATAAAGTCAGGTCATTTTTTTTTTAAACTAAACAAGCAAAACATTACAAAACATGTCAAAGCGTTTCAGATCTAAGTTTTATTTTCATGCCCATCCTCAGGTTTTACATCTCACCACAGTGAGGAAAAAACCCTCTGCTGCTGCAGCTTTCTTTTTTTTCATATGGGCATTAATTCATTCTCACTTCTATTAGAATTCTCCTTGAGAACTGCCATCTTGAATCACCGCCGCTGCCATCTGTACAGTATGTCAAGGGAAAATTACTTCCAAACGGCTGCTGTGTCGATCTCACTGCATAAAATACATTTAGAATAAATACAAGTAGGCGCAGGAGTTGGACTTTTTTTCATTGCAACCTGTAGATTATGAAAACCAAATGTCAAATTTTAAAAATTGAGGAGATGGGCCCTGACTGAATTCACTCATTCATATGTTTACAACCCAGTGCTAATATTTGATTAGTGGATTTCCTTAAGGAATCAACAAAATGTTGTGATCTTTTTCAGAGGTGGGATATTCAACTGTCTCCAAAGGTAAGCCTTATTGTTAGCATGTTTCACCTCTTTTGTCTAAATGTAAGAAATATAATATAATCAGTAAGCTGTAGTTACTTAAGAAAGGGAATTTCTATCTTTAAATGGAGTTACATCCTTTACAAAAGTTATTCTTTACTAGTTTGGTTAACTTATTTTAGCCACTAATGCTTTTCAACTTCTTCTTAAGAAACCAAGAAGGAAGTGGATTCCCAATGGTTCTAGGAGATTTAGAGGGACAAAACAATGCTGACGTCAGGTAAGCTGACATTGTAAACTACTTTCAGAGGAGATCAGTGAAGGTAGAAACTTGTTTATTCTGGACATTACAGGAATGGAGAAGATTCACGTGGATGTGGTGGAAATGACCGAGACACAGCTCAAAGTGCTATGAGGTTAGACTGATGCCTTTGCAGTTGACCCCCTTTTTCTTACCATGTTTGTCAGAATTGACAGAGTGTGTCTGTAAGCTCATAAACATCATGGAGTCTGGCCTTTAATCTGCTAAAAGCTATCGATTCCTTAGGTGATGCCAAAGCTCCACAGATCCCCGTTTCCTGAAAAGGTTCACTTAACTCAAAAGGGATTATTAAAATTTGTCAAGTTTGCAATTTAGTTTAAACTGACGTGTCGCTTTACCTGCACAGCTTCAGAACAAGCTGTTTATGCATAACTAAATTATGTTTAATATCTGTGTTGTAGTGGAAACAAGGGATCTCCCAACACCACTACTCCATCTGATCACAACCCAATGAACGGGTGCGCTTTAAATACCATAATGTGTTTATTATTGATTCCTTTATTTATAGCTTGACAGCCTGACCTGAAAATAACTATTGCATGTGTCAGCTCTAGGAACATGAATGAGGAGCCAGTCGGAATAAATGGAGCGAAAGGAAGAGGAAATAAGAGGTATGTTTTAAGTGAACACATAGATAATTAACATCTATAAAATCTATAAAATCTAAATATGTCCAACTATTATTTCACTGTGGCTCAGAATTGACAGACAGAGAAACGCAAGTAAGTTACAAAGGAATAAGTTTAGCTGCATGTGAGAGGAAAAAAATTAACAGAGTGTGAAACAGAATGAGAAGCAAAACAAGATAAAATAGCCGACCATGATGAACAAATCTGAAACATTTTGATGTGGTCAAACAAAATGACCTGTTGTTCTCACACCTTGTTGTGTTTCTGTTTCTGCCTGATAAATGATAATCGGCGACTACCTCACCGTGATCAGGGAGCTGGATGGCGGAGGGGCTGCTGCTCATCATCACGCTGAAGAACAACCACTGCTGCCAGATCAGCGGTGAGGCTGCCACTCGCCATGTTGTCGCACCTTCAAATGTGTGACCAAAGAGAAACCTAGGACATGTGCCAGTTTCAGTCTGCCACACATGTTTTTCTTGTTGATTTGGCCCTGCTGCTCTTCAAGATTCCAAGAGGGAAATTTAAGTGCTTCTCTCCACCCTGCCAGTTTCACACAGACTAGTTTAAACTTTTGAACTTCTTATCTCTACTTTAAAAAATCCTGAATACCACATGTTGCTGTTATTTTGCTGTATCTCAAATCTCAGGTGCGTTTGTGTTTATCTCCAGAACTGCCAATCGAGATTTCAACAGGTCTTACGTGGCTGTGACTTTGGTGAATGAGCTCAGCTCCAACCAGGAACCAGTCAGCAGACATTCTGCAACACCAGTAAGTCAAGAAATCTTTATATTAAAGTTTGAACATAGAAATGTTCGTTTTGTTGTTTTCTAACTTTACAAATTCTTTTGCAGGATGCTGACGTGGAGTCAACATGCCCTGAAAAACCAACAATATAGTTATAATAGATAAATATGATATGCTATATAAAATAATAATAATAATAATAATAATAATAATAATAATAATAATAATGATCCCTGTGTCTATGTGAGACATTTCCTGACATGACCTTTAGGCTTAAGTTATTTCATAAATTTCACACACACACACTTTTGTCTTTGAAAAAATCTTAAATATTCAAAAGATGTGTGTTAAATGTTGAAACAAATGTAAGCATTTAAATGTGCTTGTTTCTACGATATTCGTAAAACTTGGAAATTATAACTATTTTAACAGCTGTATCTGGTTGTCATAACAATTATCAATATGATTTTCATGCAAGGAAATCTTGACTGTTGAACTTAACCAAAGGAGTGGGTGAACTACATACATGTCAGGAATGTGCCACATTTAAGGGCTAGAGAAAAACATATGTTTCACTATATAAAACATATTATGAATATGTATAGCTAAACTAAAGATATTTTTAAAATAAATATTTTGGTATTGTATTTCAGTTAAACCGAATATCTTATATTCCTGGCAGATTCGGGTAGTCACATTTATTCTAGATGAAAGGAATAATATTTTAGAGCCAGATTACAGATATAAGTCCAATAGGTAAAGATTAGGGTGATGACAGGGAGGCCCCCAATCTTAAAGAAAAAGTAAATTGTAAAAATACATTTAAAAAAAAGTAAAAAAAACTAAAAAAAATTCAAAAGAATGGCTTTCTTACTGCAACAATTTTTGCAATTGCAAATCACTTGTACAGGCTGTTTTTTTAAAAAAAAATAATAATAATAAAAACACATGAATTAATATTTTAAAATCGATCTTTTTATATGGTTATAGGGAAGTCTGCCTCTTTTACTGTCAGAAACCTTTCAATTAAATGAATATAATAATATTATTTTACACAAATCTGCCAGGTTGATAACTATGTATGTGTGTAAGAATGTATTCTGTATCACAGCTACAAACTAAATATATACAATAATCCTTACAAATTTGCCTTTGTTATTTTTTCTTTTTTTCTGACAAATATTAATTTCCATTTGTTATGCAAAAGCCTGCAAATATATATTTTAGATTAATTAAGTTGTGAGGCAATTTGTGTGTGACAAAATGCCTCAATCTTAATTAGTTTCGTTGCATCCATTATCACTTTTATTACTGTAATCTCTCCCTATCAAATCTTAAATAAATTTGTTTTCTAATGGATCTCACTGCTTGATTATTTCCATTATTCACCGTTTTATTTACACTGCAGTTTTTACCACAAGGTGGCAGTAAAGAGTCATGCGCTGTGATGCACTGAGGAACATGGTCAACACTGATTCGCCTTTTATAGCTTTGATTGAGTTATGCAAATGAAATTGTGTTTTTATTCCGGATTGCCGAAGAATCTCAAACTGATTTCGGATTTCTATCATCAGTCACTGGGAAAGTAACAACATGCTTTTGTTGGAGGAAAAATATATATATATATATAAAAATAAATAAATAAAATCCCCATCACAGTGCAGTTGATTGGCTATTGTGTGAGCCCTCTGTGCAATCAGGAAGTGTGTTTAGGTTGGTCTCTGTACTCTTATACTGTAAAGTGCTCAGGCCTAACAAATAAAGGGGCTGGCATTGTGCCACACATCACTTGGTAATTCAAGTGTTAAATGCTGTATGTCACAGGCTGGTTGCTCCTGTGGCTTGATGTATGGTAGTAATTACATTCATACGCAAACACATAAGGGCTCATGCTGAACTTAATACATCTCCTCTCTATCTCCTGGGATCTGCTGACAGTCGCTGTGAGCCCCGGTTTGTCAACGTCTGACTCTATTTTAAGCTTCCCTAAATGTGCAGTGACCTTGAAAAGCCCCTTTTTTACTTTGAGATAGTTTGAATGCCAGGAAGTGAGCATGGTAGGGGTTGCAGGCTTTGTTGCTCATGTCGAATATCTTTTTTGCAAGAAGGTGCTACAGTTGCACTGGTGAAAAGAGGGTGATTGAATGGTCAATGCCTCCAAGCCTTGTCTCCGAGGGAGTGTCAGGGAAAGGACATGAACAAGGCTGGCCTGATGCATGGATCGGTGCAAAATATACAGTTCATCTTTACAGTATGGCAAAATGTTTGCATGTGTTTTTTTTTTTAACATATATTTGGTTGGAGCTAATTTTGGACATTTGTGAATTAGCTATTGATTGACGAGCTAAGAAATAAAATGCAGTAAGAGCTGAACTCCAATCAAAGAGTGAAGACGCGGGCAAAGGAAAGCTGCAATATATATGATTTAATGAGCCATTCCTAAATGATCTGGCTGATCATAATTTTTTATTCTTACCCTGGAGAGTGCTGCTGTGCACCACCTTGGCAAATGACACACAAATGGTGTTGCAATGAGAAATCAGTAGTCTGCACTCACAGTGCAGTTATTAAAAGATTACATGAGGGATCACACCACACAGTATGATTAATTAACCTTGACTGATGCTTTAGAAAGCCGAACACAGCAGAGTAATTATCCCCACAGGTCTGTGTGTACCTATACAAACATATATGAGATGCTCTGAAAGCACCACGATAGCTTTCACTCAGGGTTATTTTTGTTAAGCAAAGCTCTGCTCAACCTTCCCTTCAGGAGCCAAAAGCTGTCCGACATTTTCCCCAATGTGCTTCTCTTTACGTGTTTATGATCACCTTACGGTGTGTGCTTTGCACGCAGATCGTTGTTTGAGTATAATCCTCATCCCTACCACCTGGTCAAATCTGCCTATGCATGCTGTGTGGCTCATAGGCGTGCTGACTCAGGAAGGAAATCAGCTGCTTGACTTCAGAACGACGTATCCCACGGTAGTCCAGCGAACAGCACAATGCAGTTTAGGCTGGCTGAAAAGGCCAATGAATTAAACATAAACTGTGCGTAAAGATAACTTTTCAAATCCAGTTCAGATTGTGAGTCAGGGATATTAAAGTTAATTTTAATACAGAATTGCAGAGAATTAATTAATTGGTGATTACCTTTTTTTGTCACTCTGGCACATAACAAGCACACAAGCAATTAGGATATGTCAGCTCGCGACTACATCCACATTAGCACAAAATATTTTACACCTTTAAAGCGTCTCTAAAAACATCCCTCAAGCATCACGAGTGAATATTATTACATATATTTTTTATTATCGTTCTGATGCAAGGTCGCTCTGACCTGCAATAATAGAAACCCTCTCAGAAAACTGTCCCTTTGGCCCAGACTGCTTTCAAAGGAAAGACTTTGAGGAGAAAATGATTCAAAGAGAAATGGTCAGTACTATGAAAACAGATTCAGAAATATATTCAAAATCATGTTAAAAAGGAAATATTAAAAATGATCTTAAATATAGATCCACATTAAGTTTAACACTAAGTAAACACTTGACACTTCATTTATTTAACAAAAAAAAAGCTAAAGTAGAGCTGCAGAATGTCAAGAATAATTGATATTCTGTGAAGAAATAATCATCATGACCTGGTCAGCCTCTCACATGCTGGTTGTGGAGCGATTCTAGCTTGGTGCACTTCGTTGCTGCTGAAAATCAGTTCACACCACGCTCTAAAGATCTAATTCCTGAATATTAATTAAAGTCTGGACCTTGAGTGGGTCATTTGCAACACCTTGTTTGTTTTCTTTCCAAGCTGTTCTGTGGGAGATTTGTGGCTGCGTTTGGGATAACTATCCTGTTGCATGACCTAATTTCAGCTACGTCTCAGCTACTGGGCAGATGGCCTCAAATTTCACTAGAGCACTTACATTTGCAGAGACTTTAGGGATTCAGACTGTTTGGTTATAGCCAACAAGTGCAATGGTATAATGTCTTGTGTTTGGTGAAATGTTTGTTTTTTCTGTCCTCTGGACAATTTTATAGAATTTGTATGGTTTGTTGAAATGCAACTTTGGAAATACAAGCTGTGCTACTATTTTCTGTCCCAAGAGAAAAGCCTTTCTCTTTTCACCAATTTCCACTATTCTTTATTTGCACTGTAACAATCTGTAACAGTTGACCTTCTGCTAGAGATTTAGCTTAGAAGTCTAAATGTACGATAAACTTGCTGTGACATCCATGGGTATTAGGCATTTCAGCTGTCCCCAATTAATTAATAATTTTACTGATGAAAGTATAACCGCAGATTGGAAGGAAATTACCTCATAATCTTCCTCATATTGACGAGATGCAGTATTTGTTTTTCTCCGAGACGGATGGCGGCATGTTCCCTCTTTGACTTTGTGTTGTCATTTAGAAAAGCAAACCACCAAAATTGCTTTTATGGAGGCACTTATGCCGTCTAATGATCACTTAATTAAGTGCTTTTGAATAGCATGACCTGGCTGCTACTTACCCATTTATGGAAAACTGAAAGAGTGTGGTTATTTCTCACATCCTGCTGTGGAATGGAATATGTTATGTGTTGTGTAACTGAGGATATGGTTCCCTAATGTTCTAAATTGAACCAGACCAAACTATTAAAAAAAAAAAGTATTTCTTGGTATGCAAAACCATAGATTTAAAGTTTAACTTACTTTTTAACATGATAGTACATATTCACACAAATTTCCCACACACAGAAGACAGAATGCCCTAGAAATATTGCTATCTATAGAATCCCACTGCACCTTAGTACTCATAGCTTCTGTCATCATGAGAACAAACTAAACTTATTCTATGTATTTAAGCATATTTAATAAAGATCCAGATATAGTGCAAGCATGAACTCGTGCCTTCAGCTCTGATGACATCCATTCCCAATTAACAGTTTCTGCAATCAAAGTGTAAAAAACGGATAATTATGTTTAATGACAGGAATAATTATCACTGACAAGTGAAAATCCTGTTTAAACCTTTTTAGTCAGCTATTTTCTGACTCAGATTTTTACAGTGTTCATGTCGCAGGGTTTCCATGTTATTTCCAAGTTACACAATGTTGAGAAATATAATTTTTTTCAATGTCATATTTAAATGTAACAAATATTTTAATATTGCATAAAGATACATAAAAGAAAATAAGGGAACCAATCCCTTAGCAGAAATTGTTTCTTAAATCTAATAATGGTCGTGCCGACCTTGGTGGAAACAAATATAAATGTTTGTGTTAACTAGCAACACTTTTTTGAATTACTGTGGGGAAACATGGCCCACTTGCAATTGAGCTGAACTGAATACTTTTTGAATGTAAATATGCTGTGTAGGGATAGAGTTTGTCTAGGCCACTCCAAAATCTTTGTTCCATTCTGGACATGTAGAGGCGGACTTGGGTCAGCAGGTGAGCTTCGGATCATAGCTCTGCTGCATAACCCAACGCGTTTGTGAGTTTATAGTGACAAGCTGCTGACTGGACAGTCTTGCTTCAGGATTTTCTGGCAGAATTCAGGTTTCCATCAATTACAGCATGTCATCCATGCTGTAATTCAACCAACAAGTTTAGGAGTTGCCATGATGCTCTCTTTCTGAAATACTGTTTATTACAAAATGCTCCATGTCTCTTTACTCCATGTCATGTTATACTGAACTTATTGTGCTTCTTAACAATCCTTTTGGAAATATATGAGTGAGTCATGTTATTTTTGGTCAGAAGTGGTTTCAGTCTTGAAAATCTCCCATGAATGTAGATTTTGCCCTGTCTCTTTCTTATTGTTAGATCTCGAACACCTTGAGGTCTGCGGTGCTTCAGATGTTGTTCTGGATTCTTCTTTGATATTCTGTTATAGTCTTTATTATGCTCTTGGTGTAATTCTGTTCAGCAATGTTCTGAAATGTCTTTGGATTGGGGTGGGGCAATGTATTGCTGTTTATGCTTTTCCTAATCCAGGTTGTCAGATTCTAGTTAGGTGAATTCTTGATATTACAGTTCAGACAATAATCAACTGAGGTGTCGCTAACCACAGTCTAGTAGTTGATCACCAGTAATTCATGATTTCACAAGGGACACAATTATTTTTTAACACAGAGCCAAGATGGTGTGAAAGGCTTCTTTCTCACTGGAAATTACAGTTTCATTTCAACAGTAATTTTTGTATTTACTCAAGTTTTCTTAGTCTGCTTTTAAAATTTGTTTAGTGATCTGAGACATGCAAATTTTACAAAAGGAAAACAAAAGAAAGACGTAAGGGGAAATGCTTTTTCACAGCACTGCATATGAATAATCAGTCCATTGTTGCATCTGAACATTTTCAGAGGGATGATTGTTT